AAGACAACATAAAGGGAATCATAGTTCAGTCACTACTACTCGTAGCTAGCCCGCTCACCTTCGCCTGCTTTTCTAAATGAGAATAAACATTGTTTTTACAACATTTTTTTAATAATGTTCTTCTCCTTTTGGCCGTAGCATGATGTTATATAGACCACGGTGATCCTCAATAAATGGGTTACCGAACACTAAAAGAAGTTTTCAATTCGAACCAGCAGTTCCTGAGATTGACGACAGTCAAACAAACAAACTCTTCAGCATAATAATATTGATGTGGGTATGGAGTATTTCTTTATCTTTTAAATACGATGATAAATAAATATATATATGTGCAGGAAATACCCCTATTGTTAAATTCTTTATAAAGGTCAAAGGCAAACTTTAGAATTGCTTGACGTTTCGACCTAGTTGCAGAGGCAGTGATCACAAACTGCAGTCATAACTTTGAGTGTAGTTTATTAAGTACGAATTACAACTAAAGAGAAAAACCAGAGAGCCCCCCCCCCCCCCACCCCTGTAGGTATCGGCGGTAGTCACCTCAATTTTATTTATTTGTATAGATATTTATATATTTAGAATCTTTGAACTATTTAATTATATGATATTAAATAATCATACTATTAAAAAAAAATGCTTTTCTTCTATCTAACTGTCAAGTGCCTTGCGTAATCGTTATAATGATCCCATTGGTAGATTATAAAAAACACTGATTCGATAATGATATATAATTTTGTTGACTATTGTTCAGGCAGTTACGACAAGACAATACCTTATAGTGAGCACAGTGTAAACATCTGTCATCTATATAATGGTCATTACGTATTTGATAACTAAAATGAATGACAGGATTTGGTTTAAATTCTATGGCGACCTTATTGCAAATGTATTATACCTAAATTGTGCGTTATAGTAACTCGATACACCTTAAACACGGCTGTCTGATCCTAAACGAAGCAGAGAAAATGTGATTGTGAAAACCAACTATCTAAAAACATCATATCATTTTACCGTGGGAGAGCCATGCTTTGGCACGAATGGACCGGCTCGACCGGAGTGATACCACGGCCTTACAGTAAACCGGTGTTAAGCAATTCTTTCGTTGTCTTTCACTGAGTGAATGAGGTTACCGGAACCCAAATCCCCGTCCGCCGACTCGAGGTGACCCGTATGCTCGTTTGCCCCCTTATACCACAAAAAAACATCAACAGTCTTTAATAGTCCATTGCTGGACATAGGCCTCTCCTTAGAAATTAGGTTTTGGTCTATAGTAGACCAACGCTGCCAACGGTCTACAGTAGATCACGCTTGCCAGACGGGGTGGTATAGGGTTTATTTCAAGTTTTCCTTCTCTTTTCCTTTCTGTTGTCCGGTTTGCTCCATGATCAGCTCTTATGACACAGGATGAACAGAGGTGGTGACACTCCATATTTTTAATCAGTCACCACTAGGGTATTATTTTTTTTAGAAAACTTTGCAAGCTTTTACAAACCTGCGTACATATTTGTATATACATTTCAATATCCAGACCTTTTTAGACCCGCTTAAATGCATCACTATGTCTTGTAATTTCGATGATGTTCTGTATGTTTTGTAGATGTATATGACTGTGTATAATTTTAGATGCAACTGTCCCTTGCCATGCCATGGCGACTTGTAAATGAAGCAACACTCTTCACATATTTATAAACTATATATTAATGTATTTTTTTGAAAGTTGTCATAAATAAATAAATATCATAAATAAATAACACTCAGACGCAGAACAAGTGATCTTGATTTCCATAAAATTATTTGTACTGGGTGGAAAATTATACGTGGCTAGTGGTTAAACTCTATTATTACTCTCTACTACCACTTCTGTAGGCGTAACTGAATATCAATTCCATCTATACCAAGAATTCTCGAAATATGAAGTTTTTCGTTCGGATTATAGGGTAATTTTAAAAATATTTATATAATACCTTTCAGCAAACCCTGGTGACCAGTTTTTCTGAAGTATTTTTGTAATTTAATTAATTCGTTCACTCAAACCCACGCCAGTCAAGATGAAAGCAAATTTGATTTTACTTGGATTTTGTAAAATGTTACTTCAGTTTTTCTTTATTTACATCAATTTCAGTAAAATTTTGTTATGATCAATGTGCTGTTTTATTTTAGAGTAGCATGATTTTCGTATTTTTATTGAAATCTTATTTTGACAAACTCATGACAAATTCAACATGAAAATTGGGAGATAATGTAATGTAGCGTAGTACGTATGTAAGTAAGTATTATGCCCTATGTGTGTGTGTGTGTAACCATACAATAATCTAAATAAGTAATATTATAATTTTGTTCCACGTGTATTTAATGTGGAAAAGACATTTTTAAATTAAACAGTAACCAGCGCAGATGTGTTTCATTTACTACATCTATCATCTACATCACTACATCTAATGGCGATCCTTCCAGGGTAGGTCTCATCATGCGTTTTTCGGCTTTTGGACAGTTTTGAAAAAAAAAATTGCTTCGGACTATTTCTAAATTTGGAGTATCCAAGTAAATATCTCGTTAGCGAAAAGCTGACGTTTAGTAACAAGGTTCTTGAAGGAATGTTCAAATTTTAGAAAACAGTTTTCATATAATAACATTTTGACGTGGAAGTTCCTTTGATTAGAAATGTGAACTTTTCAAAAGAATGGGTTTAAAATCTTCGTAATCCCATATTTCCAAGAATAAACTAATAGTTGTACGCTTTGATCTGAGCACACTTCTATACCAACCCCTCTGGGCAGCGTGGTATAGTAGGCCTTCTTTCTAAGGAGAGGCCTATGTCTAGCAGTGGACTTTTAAAGGCTATTTGAGCCAGATGAGTATATGTAGCAAGTCCTCAACAACAGTATAATTATATCATGAGTTCTCTTAAAATCTGAAGCATGTTATATTGTCATCTAACTGGGAACTCTCGCAAATGTAAATTTACTCTGACATTATTTAACCGTACAGAACTTTGTTTTTTTAAAATATAGTTTAATTTTAAGTTGTTTGACACTGCGTTTTTAAGAGAGACTTGGTTTGTGGTACTATTAACCACGCACCAAGTCTCTCTTAATTAACAGTGGAATTTTGATAGTAAAAGATTTTCAAACAAATATTTATTGGTGTAAACAAACAAGTCCAGTAAATACGGTTTTAGAGATAAACACTACCTAATGCTTATACCCTATCTACCCACTTATTACCTAAATATCTAGTTAATAAAAAAAATAGAGAAGTTTTTTACACCTTATTAAAAGAAAATATTCCTAAAAATAAACAAGAGTTTTTATTCATACAAAAAATAAATTATTTATTACAAATCAAATGTATAAAAGCTTTAAAAACCTTATATTGCGCTCTAGTACACAGTAATATAGAGTAATGCTCTATTGTGTTCTACCCTATATATCAAAACAATGTCCAACGCATTGAAAGCATATAGAAAAAAATCGGTTGTCTGTAAAGTCGGTTTACTGACGATAGTTGAACGTGACAACGTCATAAGAAAATACTGATGAAATGGTTGCATTTTTCAAAAATGTATTATTGCATACGAGTAGCAGCTGTCCACGCGGACGCATCGCTCACTCAAGTAGGAGAGAGACAGATGTCGAACGCTGCCGAACGCGGAGGCCGATTGTGCCTCTTTGTCACTCGTTCCGCGCTCTCGCTTGCACTTCACGCCTTAAATGGAACGCCTCAGAGCGAGGTAACGCCGCATGAGTCATGTTTTTTCGTGCGTGCAGCCGGCTCCATCGAATTATAAGACGTTGTCACGTCAAAAGTTTGTGAGGAGGCTGTCTGTTGTATCTGGTATTTTGCATACTGTCAGGGATTATAACCAGAGGCTTAATTACTTCAATATGAAACCACTGTATTGGAGGAGAGACTATCTAGGTTTACTGTTTCCACATAATATATATCTATGGGTAGATTGTACGTCATTAACATACAAAATAAATATTAATATACCTAGACCATCTGATAGATTAGTAAACTATAAGCCGTTTTTAATTAAAACTAGTCGTAACAATTATGAGACACCTGCAACACACCTCTATCCTATATCCTCGAAAAATATAACGCTATTTGTAATAAAATATACATAGACATTTTCTCCGAAAAAATAGCAACAATAAAAAAAGCAATATATAGTGTGGTATTATAGTAAGTTAGTTTATTGTGATGTATTCTTGTTTTAGTCTTTTATCTAACCATAATTTCCTTGTAAATGTAGTAAAAGTTTTGAGACCTACATGTATGTACACTTATGGATAATGCTGTGCTCACTGCTTTAATTCAAAAGCATACACATATATGTATACTTGTATGAATGTTTTGTTGTGAAATATCTAGTATGTATTTTAGTTGGTAATTTATGTTAAAATAATAATAATTCATTATTTTAATTATTCCAACCTGCTAAAGCCCTTAATGGGTGCTAATGCTCCAATTTATTGTTCTTATTTTTTTAGGATTTTAGAATACCTAGAAATAAAGAATGTAAACGAAGATGGTTCTCGCGCCAAAGCGGGCACGCGCTAAGAGGGGTCCGCATATCTTAATAAGAGCAGTTCCCGGATCTCTCCTATTACAGGCGGAGAGTAGCACACCATGTGCTTTTAGTCGGTCCGATTCCGACACACCACCCATCCGCAAACTTCGGTGGGGTGACGGCCGGAGGGAGTTCCCATACGTATAAAAAAAAGATGTCTTCTGCGACATAACCGGCGAACTTTGATAGGGATTACTGTTCTAGGTGCGGATATGACTAGCTAAACCTCTATAGTTTCGCTGTGTCCGTCTGTTTTCCCTCCTTCTACTTACTACTTCATATAATATTCAGCTTAGAAATTGTAATTAACACAAAATGTATGTACAAAAACCACAGCCCCAAAGCCGTATTACGAAAAGTTTAAAAGAAAACTATCGACCCACTCCTATACCTACTGTCAGCAGTATAATAACAAAACATCACTCACCGTCATCATGGACTTCTTCCTCGACAGTTCTTGCTCCTTCTGGCAGGTTTACCTTAAGCCCTTTGACCTTGAAGAACTCTTGGACTAACTTCATAAGATATTTCGCCAACTCGGCCCATTCAGACAAAATACCCCTCGGTTCACTGGATACTCTTCTAACTTCTTTTCCTTCTTTGATTCCAAGACTGTCAATTGTTTCAGCATCCAAAGAAACAAAACTTATCATATGATTCGCTCCGATTGTCTCGTTCTTATTTAAACTGTTACCGAATATAGCTTTAGTGGCTATTTTAACTGCTTTGTATTTAACACAAGATAAGGCTTCTCCTCTTAAAAAGCAGCCATCTTTTACGTAACGAAGGTAACCATCTTCTATTGAGTGAATGTGTTGTAGTGAGGTAAGAAGTAAGAAGGCTTGCAAGAATTGTGATGGCTTGACTGGAGACATTGTATTATCTGCAATAAGTAAATAAACATTTTATTGGTCTGATGAAACTCCAAACTGTGGAGGAAGAAAAAGGGTCGGCAACGCGTTTGTAACTAATGAGTTCGTTCCGTTCCGTTCATGGGCGGCCATCTAACATAAAAAAAAACCGTGGAAGACCCTGCTTCGGCATATATGAGCCAGGCTCGATAGGAGTGACCACGGCCTCACAGAAAACTGGTGCTAAGCAATCCTTTTGTAGCTTTTCTTTTCTTTGTAGTGAGGTTACCGGAGCCCAAACCCTTTCCCTCTTATTCTGGGGAAGGGCTTAAAGAACACCAACGCACTAGTGACTCTTGAGTTCCAGTTGTCAATGGGTGGCGGCAGTCACTCATAATAAGGTGACCCGCCTGCTTGTTTGCCCTCTGAATCATAAAAAATCTTTCGGATATGAATACGTTAGACGACAGAAGCAACAGAAGAAAACTTCGGAGAAAACGCAAGATTAAAGTTATTGGAGGCAATCAGTAGACACAGTAGAAGAAAGATAATATTTAAAACAGGAGAAGGAGTTTTACTTATTTAAAGTAGTAAAACTGATTTAATTTACTTTTGGGAAGACCTAGCTAAGACTTTTTTCTTATTTTATATCTAAAGTTTTAATCTACTTTTTACTACCGACTTGCGATTGTCCACGTATATTATTATGAATTATTAGAAGTTAAAATTAGCATTGTACCCTGTTATCAGTCATATCTTAAATGACTATTAATTTCCTTTCCTAACGATAGTATAACAATGAGTTTTTTAAATTTATAAGCTTACACAAATATTGTAGAAGTTTGGTCATTCAAAAGAATAATAGCACTCTCAAATGGAGGCAATAACCAATTCATTAAAACGTTAAGCACTGTTACAGACTGTTGTAGTACCCAAATTACCGCCGGCAACAATGAAAGATAACCCAAAAACCATAAATCTAAAAGTAATAAAGATTAATTGTCTTTAACCCCTTAGATTTATTTTAAAACAATGTAAGACCATGCCTAAGTCTCATAAAAATTAGAACGTGTCTTGCTAGTGATCTTGACTATCTAAATGTTTAAGGAATAAAATATTTACGGGGTTCTAGTTCTTTGTAAAATATACATCAGATTGGAGAGTTAATCGTTAAGCTTTAAATAAGGCAAATCTAAATTTGTATAGATAGTTCAACTCAGTTGTGCGCGCGGCTCTATGTGTGCGTGGGCTTGTAAATATACAACTTTCATTCGTGTGGCAGTCGTCGTCCGACTGCCGCGTCACTACACGTCACCGCGTCATTCGCGCATAACTGAGTTGAACTATCTATAATGAGGTACAACTAAACATAGATGGACACCACAAAGGAACTAATTATTGGACTATTAAGTACTGAACTCGTTATTGTTTATAAGTAAATGTAAGTAACTTATCGAGTTCTTGATCTCATGAACTAATGTATAAGTTGAATCTACGGCATGCGGCCAGGTCTGAAAACTATTTTATTATGTAGAAGGCACCGAGCAGATGGATCACTTGGTGGAAAGTTAAAAAAAAACTAAAACAAAACGCCTAAAAACAGTTCTGTGTGTTAGACTAAAAACACAGAAGCCAAGCCTAAAATTGAGGTTATATTTATTTATTTATTTATATCTTTATTGTATACACTTTAATAGAAAAAATGAGTTACAGATGAGTTACAAATAAGTAAACATAACAATCGGGGGTCTTATCGCTCACAGCGATCTCTTCCAGATAACCTTGACACGGATTTTAGGTATTTAACAATTTAGGGTAGTATTCATACACGTAACACAATATCACGTGAATATTTAAAAATATTCATAAACATAAACAAACACATTCATACACAAATATACATCTATGGACATTACACATATACAAAAATACACATACATACATACACACAAACCCATATATATTTGGAATATATAATATATTAAATAGTGAATCAGAACAGTATTTATTCATCATCATCATCATCAACAGCCTTTAATAGTCCACTGCTGGACATAGGCCTCTCCTTAGAAAGGAGGTTTTGGCAGTATTTATTATGACAGATAAAAATCTTTTAATATTTTTTTAAAACAGTCAAAGTTTTAGCTTGTCGGATTGTTTCAGGCAAGTTGTTCCAGAGTTTTACTGCTTGCACAGTGAAAGATTTGTCTGCAAACTGGTAATACAATTAAAGCACAATATAAATTCTCTGATTACGATTTAAATACACTCTTTTGCACCGTGACGTGTCAAAAGTCGAAAACAAATACAAAAACCGTTAAAGATTCTTATTACAGAAATTATTAAATACCAGAACACATTTCCCCGGATGAGTTTATAAACTACAATATTGGCTACCAAGTAAATATGCAGTTAGACGAACGCACCATAATTTGTTTGAAAGCCTTACTGTCAACCGCAGTGCATATTATAGAAATTATTTTTTACAAACACGCAATGCTACGCGCTGTGACTTAGATAAATCTAGCAAAAGTAATCAGTAAGGAGTGAAATCGTAATTAAAAGTAGCAACACAAGACTTTACTCTAACTAATGATATTGTAAATTGAAATAATGATGAAAAACAAAGACGATTGAACAGAATAATGAGCTTAATCTTCTGTTTTGCGCATCATTCACCCAATTATGTTAAAGTCACTCAGATGAGTGAACGATAAGTATCATTAAAGCAAATTACAGTTTTTCTCTGGTAGGTAATTGTTTGCCGAGAATAACCACAATTGTTGAACATGTTGAAAAATATCATGTAAATTGGTAGATTTCCTGGAGAGGTTGAATAAACCAATAAAGTTATATGAAAATAATGTATTACATAATTATTATGATATCACTCATAAAAAAATAGGTATATATGGCCCGCTATCCATGCGAAGCCGGGTTGAAACATGGAACCTAAATCCTCTAGTAAACATAAAGAAAAATACTAAGAAAAATATCCTCACAAACATTCATACTCCTATGTATTACTTTGGATCCTAGAATACACTGTAAAACTTATTTAGGTTAAAATTTCTTGATGTTAAATTTACTTTTACTGACAAATCCGAAACGCAACGTAAAGCCACTGAATTGGAAATTAATGGTATTTGAAACAATGTGGCTAGACACTGCTCCGTATTCACAACCATCAATTCTTTTATGTTTCATCTAAATAAAATGGTACTTTGCAGCATATTTAAGTTTGTGTAGGAGACTTTGCGTAAGTTCCTATGCAAATGATTTCAGCAAACATAATTATTTTTATCGTATTATTGTCACTAATTCTCTAGTACTTATCTGAAGGTTATACCAATCCAATATCTATCCAATTTGTAGTACCATAGATTGGCGCATTTAACAAAAAAAATAGAGTCACGGGTCACCTGATATTTAACGATTATCGCTAACTAGTAATGGCAATTATTGTTACTTATGAATCATAATCATATAACGGAATGAATTGTTTTAGTCACAATGATTGCAACTGTAATTAATCACTACTGCGATTGAGTCATAAACTAAAATAAATGCCATCTAAATCTTAAGCAAAGAAAAACAAACTTTTTATCTAACACTACGACCTTTTTTTAGATTTAGACCTTTTATCATCATCATATATCACAGTAGTTTTATAAATTATTTACAGTTGTGATTATATGATTTATAACAGGTGATTGTGATTTTGATACCTGCAACTAAAGCGGCACCAGTGCTTTGCCCTTCTTTTTTTTTCTTACGTATGGAAACCGCTTTGGGCCGTCACCTAGGTGTGATGGAATCGGAACGACTAAAACCAGAAATTGTGCCACTCTGCGCCTGCGTAATAGGAAGGATACGGGAAATAACCTTCCCCAAGCCTCCTTGGCTTGGGGCTCTGGTAACCTCATTCACTAGGTGAAAAGCAACGACAAAAATGCCTAACACTTTCTCTGTGGTGGTGACTCTGGGCGAGACAGTGAAATTATTATCATCATTAACAGCCTTTAATAGTCCACTGCTGGACATATTCTTCCCCTTAGAAATAAGGTTTTACTACCTACTATACATTACTAGCAAAGCATTATAAGTATTCCACGGTGAGGTGATGTTCATGATGTATCCCTATTTGAATTGTATTGTTATAAGTAAATAAATGTCTTTTTTAATCACAGTAAATTCTCTATCTGATTCTATCTTCATTGCCATTAAATTACTATACTCTGTTACAATTTATTCAGCGATCATATCTTTTCATAGTGTTGTAGACATGTAAATTAAAAAGTGCGTGACAAGAGAATTGGAGAAATTGATAATTCAGTAGATAGCAAAACCACTATTATTTCTCGTGTTACAGTAAAATAATGATTATACATTATAATTTAGTGTAGCCTGATAGACTGGCTTGTTGATCTCCTGGGTAGTGACCGTGAGTGCTCAGACAGGGGTTGTGGGTCGAATTCCCACTCAAGTCAAAACAATATTTGTGTGATAAGCATGTTCATTTTTTGTGTCTAGGTATAATACATTTATAAGTCAGCTAAAACAGATTTAAAGACATTTTAAAATAACTTATTTAAAGTGCAGAATTCGCTCAGTCAATTGTCATTATCACAGGTATTAAAAAGACTGGTAACTTTAATATAACTCTTCAACTTTCTCCTAAGCTATAACGAGATCTCAGTCTGTGTCCACGGTCAATGTAACCTGATAAAAGGTCAGACAGTTCGAATATATACAGATACTAGCTGACCCGGCAAACTTTGTTTTTGATTCTAGGAAACATTGAAAAAAAAAACAATTGGGGTGGGTCACCCTTATCATTTAGGGGTATGAAAAATAGATGTTGGTCGATTCTCAGACCTACCCGATGTGCACACAAAATTTCATAAAAATCGGTCCAGCCGTTTCGGAGGAGTATGGTAACTAACATTGTGACACGAGAATTTTATATATAAGATACTAAAATATTGCGTTTATTTCCTACAAGCTACAAGCTAACGGGTGCA